AGAGGGTGTCTGTCTGTATGGTGGTGGGTTTTCCTTTTGCCCATTTGAGAGTCTGGGTAATATCTATCTGTTCTGTTCTCTGGGCTGAGGTACCTGTCCCTAAGGGTTGGGCCCTAATCATTTCAATTGAAATAACTATTATAGCCAACACATACCTGCTTTAATCTTTAATGAAACTTCTTGCATCTGGGTAGAGCCCTGCACCAAAATCTTTCGGGGGAAGTCATCTCAAGACAGTAATGGATGAGCACCTACAGGTCACCATCAGGCAACTGGTTACCAGGATTATGGCCATGGGTTTCTCAAACTAGACATGAAGGTAGTCCAGGAGTAGGGCCTAGGAGTGGGTTATGCAGGCAATAGATAGCCAGCATTCTGGTCTTCCTCAGAGGAAGGCCTCAACTGCTCAGGGTGCTATGAGGATAAGATAACTCTTAGTCTTAGTGTTGGCATCTGAAGAATGGCAGCAATCCTACTCTGAGACAGGTTCCTTTTGCCTCCTCTCATCAGGTATCCACTGATGTAAAAAGTGGGGCTTTCTGAGGTGACACTGTAGCCCTTGGTCTATAACTCTTACAATAGTCTCTACATGGTCCTTTTATAACCTATTTTAGTTTTAGAGTCTAGGAAGAGTGAAGCATAAATCTAATTGGTCTTATCAATAAAACTGGGAGTCAGATATTAGGGTAAAAGGTGAAAGATCAGAGAAGCAAAGGAGCAGCCACACTCACCTCTTACTTCTCTGACTCCTGAGACTGAAAAGGGCCAAGCTGTCTCCGCCCCACCCTATCACTTCCTCTTTCTGCCCAGCCATTTCACCTCCTGTCTCCTGTCTGGACAGAACTCCAGACCTCTATAGTTAACTAGTGGCTAGCTCCACCCTCTGATCTTCAGGCAAGCTTTATTTGTCAGAACATAAACAAAATATCACAACAGAGGAGGTCATCTATATATTATAAGAGTATGGTCCCAGGAAACCTTTGATGGAAGGGCAAGAGGTCAGCACTTAGTGCCTCATCAAATAGGAAGAATCTTAAATCCTTGGGGCAACCTAGTCCAGGTAAGTTGCCCTCTGTAACCTCCCTTGAGTCAGTCACTTTAAAAACAAATATGGGTTGACTCAGCTCTGCCAATGGGAGGCTGAAGAATGCATCTTTCAGGTTCAAAACAGTGTACACCTGTTTCTCTGAAGGAATCAGACTCATGGGAGTGTATGTGTTTGCATGCATGGGGTAGGTAGATGGTCTCTCCCCTCTTATTCATTTTCCTCAGATGTTGGATGGGCTCCCAGGTTTCTTCACAGGCAGGAGAGGTGTGTGCAAAGTCCATCTCTCTAAGACAGACAATATGGACTGCAATTTCCCTTTTTGTTTTGAGGTTCATTGGGTGCTGTGGGATGTCTTTCTGTATGCTATGGATATTTGTTGCTCTGATTGGTTGATAAATAAAATGCTGATTGGCCAGTAGCCAGGCAAGAAGTATAGGCGGGGCAAGCAGAAAGAAGAATTCTGGGAAGAGGAGGGCTGAGTCAGGAGTCAGCAGCCAGACACAGAGGAAACAAGATGACAAGGCAGAACTGAGAAAAGGTACCAAGACACATGGCTAAACATATATAAGAATTATAGGATAATTTAAGTATAAGAGCTAATCAGTAATAAGCTTGAGCTAATACCCTAGCAGTTATAAATAATATTAAGCCTCTGAATGATTATTCTATAAGCGGGCCACAGGACTGCAGGGGCTTGGTGGGATGGAGAAACCTTCCAACTATAATTGGGTATTGTTTAATCTGGTCAGGGGTAGCTGAACTGGTTAGTAGAACTTGGTTTTGGGCTAGTCCTGGGGAGTTGGTTTCTGCCCTCACCTCCAGGAATCTTGTTGTCAATCTAAAAGACAGTCCAACTGTATCTTTTGATGGGAGCAAGACTTTCAACTAGGAGACTTTCTTCTGACAGAGAACAAGACACCAAAATTTTGCTGGGTATCTGCAGTCTGTGTCTCATCAACAGTGAAAGTAATGGTGGCTTTTAGTTTATACAGAACATCTTGCCTCTCAACCAGTTTTTTGTTGTTATTTTTGTTAAATACCTTTTGAGCTGCCCTCATGAACTGGGACCTATTTATATCTTTTAATCCATCTAACTTTTATAAACTTTTTTCTAACATCAGGCATTGACTGGGTGAAAAAGGAATCTTTTTTAGCAGCTGTCTTTAATCATTCTAAAAAGGGCCTAGAGAAAATTGGCTCATTGGCCAACGTTGAACAGAAGGGAAAATCCATTCTATCCTCCTGCATTGTCCAGCAGTGATCCCTCCAACCCAGCCAGGTGTGGTTTTTCTACTCTTCAGAGAATGGTAGGTTTTGGGTTTTCCAATTATATAAATTACTGATTGAAAATAAGACATAATACATGAAAAAGGAAGGAGGGATTTTTTTTTACTGGGTACAACAGGCAGATTAGAGCAGACAGAAGAGGTAATGAAGGGAAACTATTACTCCTCCTCTATATGCATTCCACTTAGGTGGCTGGGGCCTTTTCCTGCCTCCATACAGGAAACAGGGCCAATCAGGACCAAGAGATGGAGTCAAGTGATGAAACAAGCAATTGCTCCGGGAGCCAGAGGCCTGAGGACAGGACTTTTTATATTGTGATAAAGATAACACAATTTTCCCAAGGCCAGCCCTAAGAAAATTCCTCCTAGAGTCCTAGGAAAGATGCTACATCTGGCATTGTGTGTCTGAGGGAAAGGAATCTACATATACCATGCTCTTTTGTCCTTTTACTTTATTCCTTTATGACAAAACTCTATCTATACAGCTTCAGTTCTGTCCCGAGTCTCAGTTCCTCTTTGTACCTACTTTTTCTGTCCCCTCAAAGCCCTGGTAATAACCAAGCCCTTATGCTTTTCGACTCATCTTCATTCTCTGTTCCTTCGTCCTCCATCTATCCTTCCTGGCTCCTTACCCCTGGCCCTGATAAACTCTACAAGAGATCTGCTTTACCCTCGACAGAATATCTTCCTCTCTTCGCTCTGACCATGCAGATCTGTGTCTGCCTCTGGAATTCCACTCCAGTCCTTACTGCACCTGGTTATGCAAAAAGCCCTATTGTCCTCAGTCAATCTCTCTGCCATGCCCCTAGGCATAAAGAAAGGGGATGGTCTGAGCTTCATTTGCAAAAGAAGCAAAGCTATGCATCTACAGCCTGCTTGTCTCCTAGGCTCAGCAGGGGAGTTATCTAGAGGTTCAGCAGATCTGAGAAGCTGAACTGTTTGCCAAATGGTCTAGTAATATATGGGCTCACAAGAAATTCATAGGAAGGTGCAGCTGAATATTAAGGCTGTATAACACCAAATATTCCATGATAAATGGCTTGCCATTTGACAGACCCTTGGTTGGTCATAGTATAACTTTAATACACAGCTGAAACTCCATAATATATTCTTGGGGCCCGCAAGATTGTGAGCCAAAAGGGTTTGAGTCCTCAACAAGAGAGCACAGATATTAAGCTGGGAGGCAGAAGGTCCAGAGCTTTTCTGTGAAACAGACATCATATCTGTCCTCATCTGCAAAACTCTCATTTGGGCCATGGTGGCTAATGCCCACCATAGCTGCCAGCATTGTCATAGCAACAGCAGCAGCCATTGCTGCATCCACAGTCACTGTGTGAAGGGGGGCCAGGACACAGGTCTGCATGCAAGACTGAGGGAAGTCATCATAGGGGTGGCAGATGCTGGCTACAATCCCAGAAAGAATCACTCCCTCTTTCATTTTAGATCTCTTTCTCCTATCATCAGAGCTGACAGAGACACACATAGTAAAGACAACCAGGCATGGCCACCACACATTCATACACCTGAACAGACCAGCTGACTTTTGAATGTTTAACTCATGGACACTGGATCAGCAGCCACATCCAGCCTTTCCTTTGTTTCCTGAACAGAAGGTGCCTTAACCAGACTTACCTCCAGAGGTGACAGACCAGGAGACTTTCTAATTTGTTTCCTTTTAGGGTAGAGGTGTCAGACTCTTCCCAAGTGTTAGGCAGTGACTGATCAAGGGGAGTCCTGGGGACCTGGAAAGTCTTCACATTGTACACTCCCTTGACCTAAACATGGTTCCTCTGAAGGTCTCTGAGGTCCCTAGTGTCTTGAGGTTTGGTCTCTAGAGATGTGAGTCAGGCCTCTAGAAATGTATGATTATCCACCAGAGAAGACTACTCTGAGGAGGGTTTAAGCCAATAGAAAGTCTTCATTAGCTAGCCAGTAACTACACTGGTGTTCTGGATCCCAGTGTATCCATCCCCAAGCCTTTCTCAAGGTGAGCTTTTAAGCACCAGAACAATATCCTGGGTTGACATAGTTTAGCTAACATGAATAGGTCTCCAGAAGTAGAATTACAAAGGCAAAAAGCAAGGTTACTACATTTAGAGACTTTCCCATAACTATGGGCTTCAATGGATTAGGTTTTTGTTTTGTTTTGGCAAATAGTACTGTCTATGTGCTGTGTCTATAGCATGAATGGTACTTCCATCATGAAGTGGATTGTACTAAGGTCTAGGGGCCTGTTACAACAATCACCTAGGGTTTTGTTTTTGTTTTTCTGTTTGTTTTCTATATCTTAGCTGAGACTTAGGGCATTGGGGACCTTGAAGTGGCAATGCCCATGCTCATGTCAGCAACACACATTCATTCAAGACTGCATCCACTCCTTACACACTCACTCAAGGCTTCTTCTACTCCTCATGTTCAACACTATTTGTAAAACTGGTCTTCCTCCAGTGAGAGTGCCTGTCTCCCTAAGATTTCTTGACGAATTGTAACCAGCAAGACAAAGCTTGTAAATATATTGCTTCTTCAATAACTGACACCACAGAAACACACACATCTATCTCTTTCTACATTGCACACACATGACCACACAGCATCCTGTAACATACACATGTCCATTTATGCTTCGACGTAACACAAACATGAACATAGAGTATCTTGCAAGGTGATATCTTTCCTCCAATTTATTTATTTTGGTGGTGTGATGGCTATTCTTGGTTGTCAACTTGACTATATCTGGAATGAACTACAATGGAACACACACCTGTGAGACATTTTCTGCTTGAAGTGGGTGAATCCACTTCTAGTCCAGATCTTTGAGGTAGGAAGACGCTTTTTTTTTTTTTTCTTTTTGGTTTCTCAAGACAGGGTTTCTCTGTAAAACAGCCCTGCCTGTCCTGAAACTCACTTTGTAGACTGTTGTGGAATATTATTTTAAAATGTATTACATTCATCTATGTTGTGGAATATTTGTTTAATGATACAAAGATATGTTGCATTCTTTTATGTTGCATTTGTTTAATCCTGTGAAGCTGTTACTTTGCCTGTCTAAAACACCTGATTGTTCTAATAAAGAGCTGAATGCCCAATAGTTAGGAAGGAGAAAGGATAGGCAGGGCTGGCAGGCAAAGAGAATAAATAGGAGAAATCTAGGAAGAGAAGATCAAGGAACAAAAACAGGAGGAGAGGAGGACATCAGGGGCCAGCCACCCATCTACACAGCAAGCCGTAGAATAAGAAGGAAAGATATACAGAAACAAAGAAAGATAAAAGCCCAGACGCAAAAGGTAGATTGGGATAATTTAAGTTAGGAAAAGCTGGCAAGAAATAAGTCAAGCTAAGACCGGGCATCTATAAGTAAGACTAACCCTGCATGTGTTTATTTGCGAGCTGCATGGCGGGCCATCCAAAGATCAAAGAGTGAAAAAAAAAATCAACTACAGTAGAGACCAGGCTGGGTTTAAATCCTAGGAATAACTTACACTACCACCTTCCAGCAAATTTTGGTTATTTTTGTTAATGTTTTATGGGGAGGTCACCAAAGAAGACCACTCAGAGTTTATAGCCAACTGAAATTCTTTATTCCAGCCAGCTTGGACTACACTCTGGTAGTGGAGACCCAAGTGTAGCCCCAAGCATATAGAGCAAGCAAGAAGCTATTAAAAGCAAAAACCACATCCTGTTATATTGCTCAGCAGATGCAGGGGGAGGTTTTGCCCAAGCAGGCAGGTTAACAGAAGCCAAAATAAGTAGTTAGCTGCAGGGGGACATGCAAGCAGTTGAACAGAAGACAGGATAAATAAGCTGGGGAATCACAACCTCTAGTTCCGAGAATACAGTTCAGTAGTTTTCCATGAGATTCTCCATCAGAAGTCAAATTCTATCCACCCCTAAAATGGATTCAGCAAGACTATGCAAGGAGGAGATTCTGTACTATTGTGCCCTGTCACTAATGTATAGTTTATCTTAATGATGAACCAAGAGCATAAATTACAGGGAAAACCTTTTTAAATTTTTATGTATTGAACCCCTTTAAAAAGTACTTATTTATCAACAGCTGTGTTTTTAACTTCTTCACACAAATACTTAAGGAATGGATTCTCAACAAAAATACTTTCACATACATTTTCAGGCATCAGATTTTATCCAGAATGAAGTTATTTAAATTGAATAGTGAAGGAATGTATGAGGCTTTTCTAAACTATCTGCAATAAAATTTGTCTTTCATATCAGTTACATTCCAGGCAATAAAAGCAAGAACACTCTAAAAGTCATTTTACAGAATATGGGCATGAACCAAATACTCTTCAAGGATTTTATATCTATTGTACTGTTCCCAAAAATTTTGTCTGGTACTGTGCTTGCCATTAACAAATTAGGCAGAAAGTAAACATTGTGCCTAATATCACAGGAGCCATGGGATATTAATGGTGACAAGGAAGGTGCCTCAGATAAACCTAGTTCCAATAACTACTCTCCCTAAGCTGACTGTCCTGGGTGAATAGTGTTTGACAAATTAAGTTTATAGAATTAACAAGATGAGAGTAATCAAAAACATAATGGCCAACATTGTCTGACATTCTCAATAGAGTATCATCTCTGGACAACCAGACTCCCCACACTCTGATTCTCTAAGGGTTTCTTGGCATCAAGAGTATGAATACTCCTGGGAGGTGGGAGGAGGGCGGAGGTGGGATCTGTGGGTGGTATGTAGAGTGAGTAGAAAATTTCTTAATAAAGAAAAATGAAAAAAAAACCAAAAAAGAGTATGAATACTCTGATGTTGACCAAATCTGAGGGCAGACTAAAGTTCTTCCCATATTCTTTTCAGTCACAGTCTTGCCAATGCATAGGACTTACATGCATAGGACTCCTGATGATGATGGATTTTCTGATGTTGTGTAGGCTCACCATTTACAATAAAGGTTTTCCCACATTCCTCATATTCACAGGGTTTCAGACCTATAAGGACTCTCTGTTGAGTTTTAAGAGCTGAGCTAATTCTATAAATGTTCCCACATTCCTTGCATTTATAGTGTTTCACACCAGCATGGATTCCTTTAAGTTGAAGAAGGCCTGAGCTCAAACTGAATGTTTTTTCACATTCTTTACACTGATAAGAGTTTCATACCAGTATAAATTCATCACTGTGCAGTAAAGGCTGAACTAAATCTAAACATTTTCCCACATTTCTTACATTCATAGGGTTGCTTACCATTATGAATTCTCTAATACATAACTAGCTTAGAATTACTGAAGGCCTTTTCAAATTCCTTACATCAGAAGGCTTATTAATATGAATATTAGCATGTGAAACCAAGTCTGATTTTCAACTAATGGACTTCACACATTCTTAACATTGGTAAAGTTTCTCACCAGTGTGAATTCTTTGATGTACTTTAAGATCTCCACCACGAGCAAAGTACTTCCCACATTCTTTACATTCATAAGGATTCTTGCCAGTATGAATTCTAAAATGTCCAAGAAATTGGTAATGATATTGAAAGGCTTCACCACATTCCTTACATTGAAAGGGCTTCTCACCAGTATGGATTCTCTCATGAATTCTAAGGCCTGTACCACGAATAAAGCCCTTTCCACATTCCTTGCACTGAAAAGGTTTCACATCAGTATGAATTCTCTGATGTTGAGTAAGTTGGTACTGAAGTCTGAAAGCTGACCCACACTGCTCACATTCAAATGATTTCTCTCCAGTATGAATGCTCTGGTGCCGAGTGAGCTGTGCCAGAACAGTGAAGGCCTTTCCACATTCCTTGCACTGAAAGGGTCTCTCACCAGAATGAATTTTCTGATGTTGCATAAGGTTTGAACGACGATTAAAGGCTTTCCCACAATCATTACATTCATATGGTTTCACACCAGCATGAATAATCCTATGTTCAACAAGGCTAGAGACACGCTTGAAGGACTTCCCACATTCCTCACATTCAAAAGGTGTTTGACCTGTATGAATGGTTTTATGGTAATTAAGTTGGCTGGAAAAATGAAAAGCCTTTCCACATTCTTTACATTCAAAAGGTCTCTCACCACTATGAAATCTCTGATGTCGAATGAGATGTATATTAAGTCTAAAGACTTTCCCACATTCCTTACATTCAAACGGTTTCTTTCCAGTGTGAATACTCTGATGCTCAGTAAAATTCGAACGCCGACGAAAGAATTTCCCACATTCATTGCACTGATAGGGTTTCACATCAGTATGGATTCTCTGATGTTCACTAAGTTGGTACTTTCGTCTGAAGGCTGACCCACACAGCTTGCACTTGAAAGGTTTCTCATCAGTGTGAGTTTTCTTATGCTCAGAAAGATATAGGTGAAGCCTAAAAGCCTTCCCACATACATTACATTCAAAGGGCTTCTCACTAGTATGAATACTCTGGTGTCTTGCAAGGTATGAGCCACTACTGAATATCTTGCCACACTGCTGACATTCAAATGATTTCTCTCCAGTATGAATGTTCTGGTGCCGAGTGAGCTGTGCCAGAACAGTGAAGGCCTTTCCACATTCCTTACACTGAAAGGGTCTCTCACCAGAATGAATTTTCTGATGTTGCATGAGGTTTGAGCGACGATTAAAGGCTTTCCCACACACGTTACATTTATATGGTTTCACACCAGCATGAATAATCCTATGTTGAAAAAGAGTCGAGACACGATTGAAGGACTTTCCACATTCCTCACATTCAAATGGTTTTGTACCTGTATGAATGGTTTTATGGTACTTAAGCAGGGTGGGAAGATGAAAGGCCTTTCCACATTCATCACATTCAAAAGGTCTCTCATCACTGTGAGATTTCTGATGTCTTGTAAGTTGTTGGTGGAGTCTGAAGGCCTTCCCACATTCCTTACATTGATAGGGTTTCTCTCCAGTATGAATACTTACATGCTGAATAAGATTTGAACGACAACCAAAGTATTTCCCACACTCATTACATTCATATGCTTTTTCTATATTGTGAGTAAGAGTCCGGCAGGTGTAAGTAGGCAGTTTTTCCTTGTTATTAATCTTTTGATCAGCATCTCCATCTTGATATCCCTGTAATCTCTTGAATGTACTGTACTTGGGGCCATTACTAAAACTGGAGCCCTGGAGGTCAAAATTTTTACTTAATTGCTTTATGCTCTGTGTGGGTAAATTTATATCATAAGTATGATTTTCTGGAGATATATTTTCAGCATTATAACATGACTCCAAATCTAAAAGAAAAGGAGAAAGCAAGAATACATTATTTTTCTGAAACACACACACACAAAATCCACGACATGAATGGCCAGACTCTAACATATTTTCTGATAAGATGAACAAGAACAAGGAGGGCAGCAATAATGAAAGCAGAACAGGTTGGAAATGAAAAGGCATGTTTGCTTAACAAGATTATAACTAACTATAGTGAAAATTTTTACATACTTCTTTACATATTACTGGAAATACATACCCTTCAGTGAAGGTTTTTGAACCTGTGGGGACATAAAAGCCAACCCTAACCTGATGGCACTGTATTATTGCCTGCCTATAAATGAACTACTGTACCCAGTCATTAGAGTGCTCAGATTTGAGGAATAATTTGCACAGGTCCCCTTTGGTAGCTAAAGAAACTTAATATGGAGACAGGCATCCCTGAAGGGTCTTTGACCTTTTGCTCTGGAATACTTGGGAGATCCTAGTGACCTGCAAGTGAGATAATAGGAAAATGGGCCAGGAAGTATTAATACCTGTTTTTGCTTATATAAAACTTGCTTATCTCTTAGAAAAAAAAAAAACTTGCTTATCGCTGTGGCAAATGGATAAAATGGACTTTTTTTTTCTTACTATATAGCAGGAAAAGAATAACCTGAGGGAAGTCAAACAATTTTCCTGCCCAGCTGTGGATTCCATGGGTAGTTATAATGCACACTTTTCTGATAACTTCCTTTAAAAGCACACCTTACTACCTCTTGTGTACAGCATGCTGCTTGGCTCTAAGGCTGTTGTCCTTCTGCCAGTAGTAGGAATAAATTCATTTCATCTAAACTTGAATTGACTCTAAAGTCTTTGGTCTTTCCCAATGGATTCAAATGCCACAACAAACCAAATCAAGAGAAAAAATAGTATACCATGAAAATGTATAATATCTGTCAGGTTTTAAGAAAACTGGTCTGGACTTGGAATTCTTTTTGTTTTGTTTTGTTTTGTTTTTGAGACAGGTTTTCTCTGTATAGCCAGAGCTGTCCTGGAACTCCCTCTGTAGATCACACTAGCCTCAAACTCAGAGATCCACCTTCCTCTGCCTCCTGAGTGCTCGTATTAAAGGCGTATGCCACCAACTCCTGCCCTGGACTTGGGATTCTTAAAAATTAAAGTGGGTAATAATCTGTGGTGGTACTGGTACACAACTGTAATCTCACCAACAAGGAGCCATAGGTAACAGAGTCATGAACTCCATGCCAGCTTGGACTAGACAGACACTGTCTGAGAAAAACAAAAACAAGCTAAAAAGAAAAAAGGGGGAGATAATTCATTAAAATTTTTAAGAACCCTAAGGACCTCCAGCCAGGGAAACAGGGAAGCTAAGTGCAGGTATTGACCCAGCCCTCCTCGCCTCCAAATCCAATCGCCTAGTCTCGTCCCTAGCTTTGCAGCAGACCACTTGCTGTGGACTCCCCTTCATTCCTGCCCTGATCTCCATCCAGTCAATCACACAGATCTACACCTCTAAACTTCCTTCTCCCCACTCACTGCTTTATCCCAGACCCCAATCCAACAGGCATTCTCTGGAAACCAAAAGGTCACTCTGGCCAGTGAAACAGGTAGGTTAACTGCAGATCTTCACCTCTCCCTCCATTCCTCCAAGTCTAATCCCCAGCTCAGTAGCAGACCATCTGCTACAGCCTCTCCTCACTTTCTGACCCCACTCCCAAGACACTAAGCAGATCCTAGTGGAACACCTGCTTTCCTCCCTCCTGTGGACCTCCTCAACACCACCCACCTAGCCCATCCCCATTCCTGTGTCAGCTCCCAATACCTAGAAACATATTTTACCTGGAACCCCAGTGGCCACACCTATCAGGATCCCACAAGAAATTCCTACCTGGCAACACACAGTTACCACACTCTCCTGAGAACTAGAGAAGGCAACTGAAAACAAGGAACAAAATACCCACCCAACAAAGACAAGAACAGATATCAGCACCTAGAATTACAATCTTCCCAAACCCAGATGCCTAAATGCCAGCATAAAAACAATAATGGTATGTCAGCACTGGAGCCCAGCAACCCTACCACAGCAGGACCTGAGTATTGCAACATAGCTAAAGCACAAGAAAAAGACATTAAAATACCCTTTATAAATATGGTAGCGGTCATTAAAGAGGAAATCAATGAATCCTCTTAAAGAAATCTATGAAAACACAAACAGTGGAGATGAATCAAACAGTTCAAGACCTGAAAGTACAAATAGAATGAATAAGGAAAATCCAAACTGAGGGAAATCTGGAAAGGAAAAGTTTAGGAACTCAAGCAGGAACCTCAGAGGAAGCCTCACCAACAGAAATCAAAAGATGGAAGAGAGAATCTCAGGCACTGAAGACATGATAGAAGTGATACCTCCATGAAAGAAAATGATAAAGCTAAAAAACGTTCCAGCACAAAACATTCAGGAAATTTGGGACACCATAAAAAGATCAAATCTAGGAATAAGAATAGAGGAAGGAGAAGACACTCAGGTCAAAGACACAGGAAATATTTTCAACAAAATCATAGAGGAAAGTTCCCCTAATCTAAAGAATGAGATGCCTATCAAAGTACAATATGCATACAGAACACCATATTGACTGGATCAAAGAAGAAAGTCCCCTGGGTACATAATAATCAAAACTAAATGTACAGGACAAAGAAAGAATATTAAAAGCTGCAAGGGAAACAGACCAAGTAACATATAAAGGCAGACATACTAGAATAACACCTGACTTCTCAATGGAAACTTTAAAAGGCAGAAGGAACTGGACAGGTGTTCTACAGAATCTAAGAGACTACAGATGCCAGCCTAGACTATTATACCCACCAAAACTTTCAATCACCATCGATAAGAAAACAAGACAATCCATGATAAAAAACAAATTTAAGCAATGTCTACAAATCCATACCTATAGCAGGTACTACAAGGAAAACCTCAACTTAAAGAGATTAACCATACTCAAGAAAACACAACGAATAAATAATCCCAGACCAGTAAGTCTAAAGAGGGAAAACACACACCACCACCACCACCACCACCACCACCACAATAAAATAACAAGAATCAATAAACACTTCTCACTCATATCTCTCAATATCAATGTTCTCAATTTCCCAATAAAAATACACAGACTAGCAGAATGGATGTAAAAACAGGATCCATCCTTCTGCTGCATCCAAGAACCACACTTTAACACCAAGGACAGACATCACCTCAGGGTGAAAGAATGGGAAAAGATCTTCTAATTAGAAGCAAGCTGGTGTAGCCATTTTAATATCTGACAAAATAGACTTCAAAGCTAAGCTAATCAGAGGAGATAGGGAATGATATTACATGCTCATCAAAAGAAAAATCCACCAACATCTATGCACCAAACACAGGGTATCAAGTTCATAAAAGAAACTATAACACAGCTTAAATCACATATTGACCCTCACATACTGATAGTGGGAGACTGCAATAACACACTCTTGTCAATATTTACAGAACATTTCACGGAAACACAAAAGGATATATCTTCTTCTCAGCACATCATCAAACTTTCTCTAAAACTGACCATACACTTGGACATAAAGCAAGCCTCAACAGATACAAGAAAATTCAAATACCACCTTGTAATCTGTCTAACAACCATGGATTAAAGCAGGATATCAATAACCAGAAACAACAGAAAGCATACAAACTTAAAAACCAAACAACTCAATATTGAATAAAAAAAATGAGTCAAGACATAAATGAATAAAAATGAAGACACAACACACCCAAACTTATAGGACACAATTAAAGCAGTTCTAAGAGGCAATTTCAAGGTAATATGTACCACTGCAAAGAAATAGGAGCCATCTCATAATATCAGCTTAACACCATACCTGAAAGCTCTAAAACAAAAGGACAAAATTACACCCAAAAGGATAGACTGCAAGAAATAATTAACTCAGGACTGAAATTAGTAAAATAGAGATAACAACAATAACACAAAAAATACAAAGAATCAATAAAACAAAGAGTTGGTTCTTTCAGAAAACCAGAAAGACTGATAAACCCTTAACCAAACTAAAAGGAAGAGAAAGAAGATACAAATAAAGAAAATTAGAGATGAAAGAGAGAAATATCAACAGATACTGTAGTGGTTTGACTAGGAAAGATCTCTGTAGACATGTGTTTGAATGCTTGGTCATAAGTAGTGGCACTATTAGGAGGTGTGGCTTTGTTGGAGGAGGTGTGTCACTGGAGGTAGCCTTTGAGGTCTCTGAAGCTCAAGCCTGCTGATCAAGATACAGAAATCACAGTTTATTCTATAGCACCACGTTTGCCTGCACACCACCATGCTTCCCACCATGAAAATAATAGACTAAACCTCTAAACTGTAGGGCAGTCCCAGTGAAATGTTTTCCTTTCTAAGAGTTGCCATGGTCAGAGTGTCTCTTCACCACAATAAAACCCTAAGACAGACACCAAGGAAATCCAGAGAAGCATAAGGACATACTTTTTTAAAAGTCTGTACTCCAACAAATTGGACAAAAATCAACACCACTTCATGATAAAAGTTCTAGAGAAACTAGGGATATAAGGGACATAGCTCAACATAATAAAGGCAGTGTACAGCAAGTCTATGGCCAGCATCAACTTAAATGGAAATAAAACTTGAAGCAATGCCATTAAATCTGGAACAAGACAAGATTGTTCACTCTCTCCATACTTAGTCAATAGAGTATATAAAATCTATTGACTAGATAAAAACTAGATATCAAGAAAACAAATAACCCAATTAAAAAATGGAGTTAATATCTAAACAGAGCATTCTCAAAGAGGAAACTCAAATGGCTGAGAAACACTTAAATGTTCAACATCCTTAGACATCAGAGAAATGCAAATAAAAACTACTTTGAGCTTTCATCTTATACCCACCGCAATGGCTAAGATCAACAAAAAAAGTGACTGCTCATGCTGACGAGCTTGTGGAGTAAGGGGAACACTCATTCA